TAAAAATAAGTGATGATTCATGCTTAAGGACGTGGCGTCAGATAGCTGGTTGCAGTCTTTTATCTGTTTTATTAAGATTCTTATCTGCCAGAAATGTGATGTCTACTTATAACTAGTCTCTCAAATATCCTAATATTTTTCTGTATGCATAGCTACTCATACAAATTAACCTAGTTACATCTTGTTACCCTAAAACATTTAATGATAATGGCTTCTTATCATCTTTCACCCCCATAAATTTTCTCCTTGCTTTCTCCTGCCAAATTCAAGCTGTCACCTCTTCTTCTAGGATAAGACGTTTACTGCTGATCAATCACAGCCACAAGGGAAACGAACAACTGCCATGCTCAGTGAGGATAAGGTGAGGCAGGTTCATTGATTTACAAAGGGACTAAGTACAAACATGCAAGTGGTGTGTAGGGAAACCACAAGTGATGCTATGTGAACCCAGGGCTGAAGGCATCAGAGCTGTTACCACCCCTAGGCCAAAGGGACGGAGAGATAGTGTGCACTAAAACCAATAGAGAGGAATCCACCGGCAGGTGTTGGTCCAGCAACTGTTTTTTTAAGATGAACTAGGTATGGAAATTGAGAATAAGCATTTATAAGCCTCAACAGCAATTCCATAGATCAATTGTGTCTAATAAGAAATGGGGTTTATCTAATAATAAATACAGGGTTGGATTTCCTATGTATTTATTTTTAATTGTATTTCATTTTTCTAGTAATTTGCATTTCATCTATTTACACAAGTGCCAGCTATTGATAAACTGGAAACAAGGAAACATGTGGGGTCTTCACCACAGATATTGTAAGAAGCTTTTCCCTGGAGAAGGCTTACTTGAGCAAAATAGGCAGCCCAAGGATACCATTATGAGACTAGTCAAGGACATCAATCCTCTATTATTCCTCTCACCACTTCCTCCAGTCTCTTGTTGAAGTTCTCGATTTGGCTATACTCATTGAGGTCCATGTGGGTCAGTCTTTGGAGGCAAAAAGCAGAATACAGAAGGGTGGAGAGTGGATCTCCATCCTGTACAGTTGAAAAGTCTATGTCTCCGATATAGCAAATGCACTAAGTCCCATCACCACAGAGTGATATTATTTTGTCACAGAATAATGTGTCCCTGTGCCACTTATCAACTTACTGCCACTGAACTCCAGATTCACTCTAAATACATGCTCTGTCATAATGAACAGAATTCCATTAGCACCCATCCTTTACAGTGAGCATGAAGTTGAGCTGTCTCAGCAGAGGCCGCTGGAGGTATACTGCAGGAGGAAGGGGCTCTCCTGCTGTTTGCAGCTACTGAAGAGGTCAGCAGTATAAGTGGGAGGGCTTTGGTCATGCTTTTCTTCCCTGGCTGCACCCCTGAGCATGTGGTTCCTTTGCAACTTCTCAGCTGCAGCCTGGTCTAGTATTACAAATAGAACCCATTTCATAGGCTTGTTGTACGTACTAATTTTTTAAAGGCAGATACAATCAGTATATTAACATGCAGTTCTCACAGGGGTAACTAAACAACCTTAATTTCAATCCTCACTGTCCTTGCAACGCGGCTTGGGAGAGAAGGGTAGCCCTTGCTAGCCCTTCTCCTCTCCCTGGATGAAACTTGGGGTGGCACAATGACTTCTGACACAGGACTTTGGAGGAATATAAAATCCTACAATCACTTCCAGACCAACATACTCTCAATTATTGAAAGTGTCCAATCCGATGCATCAATCAGTAATATAATTTGTATTGAAAGGTAAGATTTCTTAGAAGGAATCCTTCCCTTTAATTTCCTCACTTCCCACTGTTTGCTAATTGACTTTTGGCCCCACCAGGGTTAAGTGCTTAGATGAAGGAAAGAAGAGGGAATAAAAAAGATCATCTTTGACAGATACTGTCAAAATGTGGCTTAATGCTGTCTGTCTGGCAGATGCTTAAGACTAACTTTTCTCTTACAGGCACTTTTGGGATTCTTCGGGGGGGTTCCTGCCATGTGATATATTCTAGTTCTCCAATTGCCCCACATGACTTAGTCCTTGGTTTTCCAGATGTCCCCTCAGTACTGACCTTCTTTCTATTTTCAAAATGGTACCCCCATTACACAAGATTTTAAATTGTTCCAAACCAGATCTTACACACCACTTGGCTCACACTAGACCAAGGGAATATTTGTCCCAAGAAACTCTAGGATTGAAGGTCAGGCTTAGGTAGCAGCAATTCTCATCCTCACTTCACCTGCAAAGGCACTTGCCAGCCCTCCTCTGAGTCCCTCCATTCCCCAAAGACACCATCCACAGTATCTGTGAGGTCTGCTAATGGAGCATGCCACAAAATAAAGACTGAAACAAATTTTATAAACTTCCTCAGCTTTTTGAGAGAGGGAAAAATTTCCCATTTGAATTCTTCCAAGGAGATTTCCCCCATACTCATAACTCTTCACCTTTATTTTTCTTTCCTATGACCCCTAAGCAAACATCCCTTTGGTGACCATAAGCATGGCAATAAATTACCTACATGTTGCCTCACTGGGGTTTTACTACCAGTTGGTCTATACTGTTGTGGGGCTAACATGCACAGTCACTGTAGTGGGAATTAAGCCACTGTATAAACTGTAAACAAGCAAGCCCTACCCATACAAATTGTTCTTTGGTATTCTTGCTGTATATATCCAAAGTAAATGAAGTTGAGATTTGATGTCACCAATAGCCCATTTAATTATCTAAAAAAATCAGATAACAAACTTTTCAGATCTAACTTTTCTTGTACTGACTAGCAATAATAACCCATATGGGGGTGGGGGCAGAATAAGTGGTTTTTTACATTTATTTTTGCCAGTACGTGCTAATAGTACTTATTTTCAAAGTTCTGGATATGGCTTCAGTAATCAGAAGAGCTTTAAATAGAAAGATCATAGAAAAAGAGTTTTGTTTCCATTTCCTTAGAATTTAGATCATCCTGTGAAAAACATAGGATTTCTTTACGGTAAATAAATAGTGCTCGCAAGAGGCTCAGACAGAGAAACTATACAGACAAGTAAGTAGCACAAGCGTGTAAAGAATAATACTGGTTATAAGGTAAGACTGCTTGGATGGGCCAGTATAATTAAAACAGTTAAAGTGACAAGAGTTGATCTGAAACAAGTCATGAGAATCTCTACAAAAAAGCAGTTCCCTAAACTGGCTGCATAAGAACCATCGGGAGTAATAAGCTTCCAAATTAAACTGATAAAAACTTGTCTGTACCTCAGACGGCTGATATCCATTCTGAGCTGCTTTTCAGTAAGAGAATTCTGATTTTCTCGCTGGTAATGTATCCAGCTAAAAGCAATGTGTCCCATTTTCTCCTGCAGAATGATATGGTCATGTGACTAATTCTGGTCATTGAATACAACTGGAGATTGCTGGATGTTACTTCTGAAAAGGCTCCTTAAAGAGGAATGAAGAGCTGGGTGTGTACTTTTTGCCTTTCTACCCATTCCTCCTACTGGCTGTGTAGAATTTGAACCTTAAGGCTGAATCTCTAGCAGCCATCTTAGAGCATGAAGTAATCTTGAAGGTGGGATTCATAAGCTAAAGACGGCAGAGCCGACAGATCAAAGGAGTCTGGGTTCCCAGTAACCATGGAACTGCCATGCCAGCTCTGCACTGCTCCTTCCACACTTGTTTTGTAAGAAGGAATGTAAACCTAACATAGACCTAACATAGAGAAGCCCTGTTATTATACACCATCAAATTCTAAACACAGTGCTACTGGTGTTTTCTTAGCCTTACCAGATTTCAACAGATGATTTTCATTTTCAGGCGAGTATAACAACCTCCACAATGCTGCCCAGCTGTAGGTGATTACAGCATACCGTTTGGGGAAATGCATGTCTTGGAATTAATGAAACAGATATTTGGAGTCTTCAGTTTATCCAGCTGCCTTAGCTTGCCTGAAATCTTACTAGTAAACTCACTGATTCTGGGATCATCCAGAATTCGGAAATTCCCAATATGGAAGAGAAACGGAATGCCTTGTGCATACCTGGCACAGAAAGGAAGCTAAGGAAAAGAAATTCAACACAGACATTGCAACCCACAGTTGTATGGAAGGCAAAGTATCAGTAAGAAAGAAACTGTAGTAACATCAGTATTGAAGAATCTATTTATTATAGGCTTAAGAACCTCTTTTCTGTAATGGACCTGAAATGAACACAGAAGTCTGGAAATCAAAGTAGCCTCCTGATGAAAACCAAAGTGAGACCTAAAGGATGATGATGCCATCCAGAGCATGGAGAAAGACTGGCAGTTAATATTCCCCTGGCATAGCCCATCAGTAATTAGCTGTTTAAAAGTCTGTGATAACTGTCTGGTATCCTTGTGGTGTGTTCTGGCTCTTCTTGACTAGTTCACTTCTTAAAAATTTAAGCCTCTCATTAAAGAAACCCTTTCGGGCCAGGTGCAGAGGCTCACGCCTGTAATCCCAGCACTTTGGGAGGCCGAGGAGGGTGGATCATGAGGTCAGGAGATCGAGACCATTCTGGCCAACATGGTGAAACCCTGTCTCTACTAAAAATATAAAAATTAGCTGGGTGTGGTGGCATATGCCTGTAATCTCAGCTACTCGGGAGGCTGAGGCAGGAGAATTGCTTGAACCTGGGAGGCGGAGGTTGCAGTGAGCTGAGATCACACCACTGCACTTCAGCCTGGTGACAGAGCAAGACTGTCTCACAAAAAAAAAAGTAAACGAAAGAAACCCTTTTGGATGTGGTAAATTAATTAGAAACAGTCTACCAGGTAAGGGCCCACTAAGCAACTAGAGATCACCATAATACCATTCACGGACTAGTATAATAAGGGACTCTCGGGTTGGCTAGTTAAGCAACTGCTATAGAAATAAACCATGGTGGGGTTAGATTTATAGTTTGAGCACATCACTGATTTCCTATTTATATCACTACCCCATAATACCAAATACATGGCCGTCACCAACAGGACACATATTAAATAACAAATGACACAAGAGATGGTTTCAAAAGGTGTTTACTATTCAGTCAAATAATTTTTTAATTGTCAGTCATAAAGTGAAATATATACCAAAATATATATTAAATATTCACCAAATCTGCATTGCTGCTACATGAAAACATTTTTTGGTCTGTTGGAAAATATAATTCCTGAGATCATTGTTGGGCTTTGTCCATTATTTTCCTCACCATCAAATCATCTTCCCTTAAGTGACTTGGGAGTGTGAATCTAAGAAGTTCAATTTTAGACTAATTTTCCCTATCTTCTAAATGAGTAAACTCTTTTTTATAAAAGGCTCTTTTATAAAAGGTAAAAAAATAACCATGGTATGGTAATTTTTTTCCAAGGTATACCACATGGAAAAGTGTAGGGTGAACACAAAAGAAGTCTTTTCTGACTGGCTCTCGATCACACATAAGGAACATATGTTTTCCAGTTAATCAGTTCTTGATGTACAGCAGTCCAGCTGTTGTTTTGCATTTATTAAAATATTCTCTGCTAAATAATTATGTTCGTCTTTAAAAGTAAGTTGCATAAAATTGCATCCAATTTCTTTCTCTAAAGCAACATATTCTTCACCTTCACAAAGCAAACACATGGTGCACTGAAACTGAGGTGTTACCAGCTTTACATACTGTTCTGCCATTTGTGAGGGGTGCAACCACAACAGACGTCAGAAAAGAAAGCTATCCAGCTTTTCATGGAATCTGGTGAAGTTTACATTTAGCAATAAGCTTCTAAGCCTGAACTTAGCAGGGCTAGCAAAACTTTATTAAATTACTAACTCCTATTATTTTAGAATAGTTTTCAAAATAATCCTATGAATTCCTAATTGAAATACAAAACAGAACAAAAAGCTGTGAGAAATATTTTTTTCTTTGGCTCCTTAAAGACTTGCATTCATTTATATTAGTGTTGCATACATTTTACATTCTACATTTTGATGTACTTGCTCTTGAAAGCACTAGAACAAATTAATGGAAATAAAACCACTCTGAAACCACTTGAATCTTTGATCCTACCATACAGTTTTAAAGGCTTTCAGGACATACCTTGTATTTTTGCCTGAGTGTCTACATGATTATGAAATGTGTGTCTCTTGCTTCACGATGATATCCAGTATGCATGAAATACTGAAAAATAAGTATTTCCCAACGACTCCTATATACCAGGCATCTCAGACTGACACTGAAAAACTTTTGAAGCATTTTTAACAACAAATAATGGACTATTTCACAGACTGAAGCCAATAATTAGTTTTCTTGACCTACAGTTGAAAGCAAAATTATCTTAACTAACTAGGATCAGATTCAAAATCCTTTTGGAGATGTTTTGATCTGTTAAATGCCTTTATTAACAACACCATCTTCCATTTTCTATTACTCCAATTCGATTTCTCCTGCATACAAGGTAATGAGCAGAATGGCTGTGAATCCAGTTAACATTCCAGCATTCTGAATCATGAAGAAGGTGAAATCGGTTTTTCTTCCAGTTACCTTTTCTCTCAGCATATCATTCATCTCTGGAAACTGGAAGACAGATACATTGTTAGATAACTGTTGCCATCTTGTGGCAAACCACAAAACAGTCACTCAGAGGCACACCTCAGAGATAGCATGGGTTTGGTTCCAGACCAGTGTGATAAAGCAAACATCTCAATAAAGCAAGTTACATGAATTCTCAGGTTTTCCAGTGCATGTAATAGATATAGTTGCATTATAGTCTATTAAGTGTGCAATGGCATAATATCTAAAAAGGCAACGTACATACCATGATTTTTAAAAAATACTTTATTACTAAAAAAATGCTATCAATCAGCTTTCAGCGAGTTGTAATCTTTTTGCTGGTGGAGTCTTGACTCCATCTTGATGGCTACTGACTGATTAGAGTAGTGGTTGCTGAAGATAGGAGTGGCTGTGGAAAATTCTAAAATAAGACAACAATGAAGTTTGTAACATCAATTGACTGTTTCATGAAAGATTTCTCTGTAGTGTGCAATGCTGTTTGATAGCATTAGTAGAACTTATTTACAAACTGGAGGCAATTCTCTCAAACTCTGTCCCTGCTCTAGAAACTCTGTTTATAGAATATTCTAAATCCTTTGTTGTCATTTCAGCAATGTTCACAGCATTTGTAGATTCCGTCTCAAGAGTAGATTGCTCTGTCTCAGGAGTAGATTCTATCTCAAGAAATCACTGTTTGTTCCAGCATAAGAAGCAGCCCCTCATTCATTCAAGTTTAATCATGAGATTGCAGCAATTCAGTCCTATCTTCAGGATCCACTTCTCATTCTAGCTCTCTTGCTATTTCCACTACATCTGCAGATACTTCTTTCACTGAAGTCTTGAACACCTCAAAGTCACCCATGAGGGCTGAAATCAACTTCTTAACAACTTCTGTTAATGTGAATGACTCCTCTCATAAATTATGAATGTTCTTAATATCATCTAGAATGATGAGTCCTTTCTAGAAGATTTTCAACTTATTTTGCCCAGATTCATCAGGGGAATCACTATCTTTAGCAACTATACTCTTACAAATTATTCTTAAATACTATGACTTGTAAGTCAAAACTACTCCAGGGACTGATCCATGAACTGCAGAATAGATGTTGTGTTAGCAAGCACAAAAACAGCATTCATCTCCTTGTACATCTCCATAAGATCTCTTGGGTGACTTGCACTGTCAATGAGCAGTAATGTTCTGAATTGAATTTCTTTTATTTTTCTGAGCAGTAGGTCCTAACAATGGGTTTAAAATATTTATAAACCATGCTGTAAACAGATATGTTATCCCGCAGGCTGTATTGTTCCATTTCTAGAGCACAGAGTAGATTGAGCATAATTCTTAAGGGCCCTAGGATTTTTGAAATGGTAAATGATCATTGGCCTCAACTTAAAGTTACAACTGCATTACCCTGCGTGAGACAGTCAGCGTCCTTAGAAACTTTGCAACTAGACATTGACGTCTTCTCTCTAGCTAAGGAAAGTCCCGGATGGCATCTTCTTCCAACAGAAGGCTGTTTCAGCTACACTGAAAAATCTGTCAGTTTACTGTAGCCACCTTCGTCAGTGATCTTCGATTTTCTGTATAACTTTCTGCAGCTTCCCATCAGCACTTGCTGCTTCACCTGACACTTTTATGTCATAGAGATGGCATCTTTCCTTAAACCTAATGAACACACCTCTGCTAATGTCCAGTTTCTCTTCTACAGCTTCCTTACTTCTGTAAGCTGTCATAGAATTGAAGCTTGCTCTAAAACAGGCTGTTGCTTAAGGGAATGTTGTAGTAGTTTTCATCTTCTATCCAGACCATTTAAATTTTATTCATGTCAGCAATAAGACTGTTTTGCCTTCTTATTTATTTGTGTGTTCATTGGAGTAGCATTTTTAATTTCCTTCATCAATCCTTACTTTGCATTCACGACATGGCTATTTAGCACACAAAGTCTAGCTTTTGGCCTATCGTGACTTTCAACATGCCCTCCTCAATAAGCTTAGTCATTTCTGGCCTTTGATTTAATATGATAGATATGCAGCTCTTCCTTTCACTTGAACACTTAGAGGCCACTGTAGGATTATTAATTTTTTTAATTTCAACACTGTTGCATGTCAGAGAATAGGGAGGCCCAAGAAGAGGGAGGGAGATGGGGAAATGGCCTATTGGGGAGGCAGGCAGAACACACACAACATTTGTCAGTTAAGTTCACCATTTTATATGAATGTGATTTGTGGCGCCCCAAAACATAAATCACTGACCACAAATCACTATAAGAGATACAATAATAATGAAAAGTTTTGAAATATTTTAAAAATTACCAAAATGTGATATAGAGACAGAAAATAAGCATATGCTATTCAAAAAATGGCACTGACAGACTTGCTTGAGGCAGAGTTGGCAAAAACTTTCAATGTGCAAAAAACGCAGCATTTACAAAGTCCAACAAAGCCACATGCAATAAACCAAGGTGCACCTATAATAGAATTCTGGGATGGGTGGTATCATCATTTACTTTGGATGTTTAAAGGTTTTAGTATGGAGAGCTTAATGGGAATATCTAGTTCTTTCAGATATCAACACGAATAAAAGTAGTGAAGTAGTATTTTTCTCCAACTGAATCAATCGGTGGGATGGAATTTACCTCATTTTATGTTCTCTTTCTTCTTCTCCATTACCTGCTCTCTGTGCTTCACCCACCCCATTCTTTCATGAGCTCAAGTTCATCCAGCAAAATCTTCACACCTGCCATCAACTCTACCTGAACTTGTATTTCTCCAATTTTTCAGTGGACTAAATCCTTCATGTTTCAACTTATATCTCACTAAAACAATTATGTTAGCCAATCCTAGTTTATTCTCAATTCCTTTATTACCATCTTTCATCATATATTCTACTTTGTCTCTTATTTCATAGCATTTTTTTATTATTTGTAATTATTTAGTCACCTGTGTGATTTTTGTTGTTGTTTTTGCTTAATTCTAGGATCCCCTCTTTCTAGAGGAAAAGCCCCATGAATGGGAAAGCCCCATAAACTGTGCCTATTTTGCTCACTCCAGGATCAGTTTTATTTATTAATATTATTTCTTTAAACTGAAAAACTCTAATAAGATTCCATTCTTATATTAAAAAATAAAATGACTATAAGATACTATAAGACATTAATTATGCACAAAAAGTTATATATGTATCATTGGTTCTAAGAGATGAAATCCTTGCTCTGATGAGGGTCTTCAGAGAACAATGAGCAGAGCTAGACAATTATAGTTTGGAGGTAAGAATGAAAATGAAGAAAATTAAATTATTAAATTATGTATGTTGTACATCCAGTTCCAAATGCAAAAGAAATATGCCTTGATTTTCATACCCTATCATATTAGCATTTTCTAGAAAGATGTCCATGATTTATTTGAAAATGCACAGAATATTTTCTCATACACACACACACTCTTTTGAGCACACACACGTACAAAGACACAGACACTAAACATATAAATACAAATACATACTATGTCAAATAAACATTGTCAAAATTTTACCAATTTTAGTGTACCAGGTTTAGTTTAATCAAAAAGCTATCACTGTTTAGAACTTTGAAATAACAAAATGCTATTTAATAACTTATTCCTCTTCCAAACATGACATAGACACAAGAGAGGGAGAAAAAGTCCTATAGGGACATAATATAATACAAGACAAGGTTTACCAGCCACAAAGGGAATAGAAATAGAGGAAAATATCTCTATTTTGGCAAAAACAAATCATTTCACCTTCAAACAATAGGATTATTTTTAAAGAACCAATGAGGATCAGTTCTAAATTACTATTAGTTTAAACTGCTCAAGTAGAATGATCTGTTGAAATGGGAATGTTCTGTACTACAACAGAAGGGACTTCCACACTGTGGAAAGCAGAAGGCCAGCTTTAGTTAACTCATAATCCAGATACTCATTTTCATATTTTAAATTAAAACAAAATAAAAAAATTTAATCTTCTTACCATGTCTGCCAGAGAAATATAGAGGAACATGCCTCCAGCAAGTGCAAATATAATATTTGGAGCAAAATTATTGCCCACCAAAATGCCAAAAGCTAGTCCAACATAGCAGGAACATGCAGAAAGGAAGTTGAATAACAAGGCTTGTCGAGTGCTCATCCCTGCATTGAGTAGGATCACAAAGTCTCCTAGAATAAGAAGAAAATATCAAGTGAATTGTTTTTTCTATTTCTGGATGAGATCAAAGATAATCATCAATGTTCAACAAGTTCTACATTTTAGTGCATCAGAAGGCTTTTAAGAGCATGTCACCTAAAGAGTCTCATTCCACTAAAATCAAGAAGTAAGCAGACTTTTAAAATATGAGCAGAGCTCCTTACCTAACTCGTGTGGAAACTCCTCACATAGGATTGCTATGGAAGTACTGAGTCCCTGAAGGAGAGACAAGGTGCAGGAAGCCCCAATCGCCAGGCCATCGATGAAATTGTGGAGGGCATCACTGAGCGTTATCATCCAGGCAATCGTCCCTATTTCTGACAGTTTTGGCCCCTTCAAACAGGTACATGAACTTGGCTCTTTTTTTCCATCCTAGCAGAAAATCAATCAAAATGATAACCAACATTTCTTGAAAGTCTCAGAAATACAGACAAGTTGGAAATGGGTTATGTTTTGGGAAAAACAAATTGTTTCAACTAGAAAGTCTTTCAGGGTAGCTAGGAAACCCTAGGAATACAAAAAAGAGCAAAGAAAACTTATGGCAGAGAGGAAGAAATTAATCAACTGACACACTTGAATAAGCCACTAAGACATTTGCCTTTACTTTCTCTTTAAAACAATCTTTTGACTTGTATGAACTTCTTCCTACTGCCTTTCTAAAATGTAGCAGGTATTACCCTAAGAATTTTATTTATACACATAACTTAAAATGAAGGAAGTTATTCAAAGACTAAACTTAAAGTGTTTTTCATGTTACAACTTAAATATGAAATCCACAACTATAGCATGATGACATCAGGAACATTTGTTCTAATCCCTCCTATGCCACCATATGACAGTGAGAAAGTTATCACAGACAGTTCCTTCAACTGTGAAATGAAAAGAATGTCCTAACTGATTCCTTTATTTGTCAACAGCTTACTGAGTTTCTGTTCCAGGTACTGTAGAGAGTTTCGGCTGTATCAATATGGTCCCTACCAGCTCAAAGTTTAATTATTTTCTTAACAAACAGCATGAAGTATAACTAAAACAGGCTAGCCTTTATACTAATACTTCTTTTCATTTTGAAACAATAAAAAATATAGAAAATCCTATGATGGATTCCTTCTAAAACTTAGATTTCCAGAAAATTTACAAAATTATACAGAATCAAATGATAAATGCCAACTAAAACATTTTCCAGAAGTTGTAGAAAAAGATAAAATGCAAATTCATTTTTAAATAGGAAAGCAGTTTGCAATTAACTGGAGAACATTCTATTCCTAATTCTTCTCCTCTCACCTCAACCTAAGCAGCTAATCAGTACCTTTACTGAACATCTGAAATTTGTAAAACACTGTTGAATGCTATGGAAAATACATGGGAATGGAAAACACAGCTTCTGTCTTCAGGGGGTGTATTTACATTGGAGAAACAAGTCATAATGTATAGGGATACATTTTTTCTAAACATGAAATATATATCCAACAGAGAGGGGCTTACGTCAGAGCAACAATCTAAGTGACATTTACTCCAATGTCATTTCACTACTCCAAACACTTTGGGAACCAACACTTTCAGAACCAACCTTAAATCTTGTAATACATCTCTTCACTGTCTCATTAGTGGCAAATCTGCACCTTTATATTTTTGTTGCACAGACAAAAACATTTGGAGCAAATAAATTTTTTAATTAATATGAAATGAATGGGAAACTTAGTAATTGGAGTCATCATCATCATCATCATCATCATCAATGTGGTTGTAGTAGAAATAAAAACAGAAAAGGCACATAGCATTTATAATGTGCTAGACACTGTTCGAAGCACTTCAGATATCTAATTCATTTGGAACAATTCAGTGAGGAAAGTACAGCTACTACCATCATTTTATAGTTGAGGAAATTAAAGCACAAAAAGGTTTGTAAACTTACCCAGGGATACAAAAAAAAAAAAGTCCACACTTTTGGTAAAGGTGCTTTATTACTACAAACATACTGGGGAGGGGAATTCTTCTTTGTAATAGGATCTGAAGGCAATTCACAAGGAGACTTCGCTTCCTCTCAGACAACTTTTCTCAATATTTGATGCAACATTGAATAAGTATTTAGTCTCCTTTATTTTAAGAAACAAAGTTTATCTGCATAAAAATAATTCTTTTTTTTAAATGTGGTCTTTTTACTTTATAACTATACCTTAAATGCACAACACAATAAACAATCATAATATAGCACAGGTAAATTGGGTTGGCTTGTATAAAAAATGACCCAGAGAGGGAAGCAATTACAGCTGAAGGAGAAACAAAGGTGGTCTTAGTGAAAGCCACAGAGGAAGTGGCCTGGGCTTTGTAAAACTTAGTGCCAAGATGCACTTAATGAAATTACTTTGAATTAAAGCAGTTGTTTTCATCTTCCAATCTAATTTATCTAATTGCATGTTTAAAACTTCCTTATTGGGATGATTTCAAAAGAAGACTACAAAACCAAGTCTTGACTACCTGATATCACATACAGAGTCTGTATACAAACACCCAATGTTACAGAAGAAATTAAATTAATATATCAGGAATGATTCTCTTACCTCTAAGTACAGATATTATTGACTCTGTTTATTATGCCTCATATTAGCTCTACAAACTTAGGTCCCAAATGAAACTGTTAAGCAGGGTAAGAGTTATACAGTTTTAATAGTTCTGAAACAAACTAAAGTAGGCAAATGTTCACAGAAACTTCTTTTTTTAATTCACATAGAACTAAATGACTTAGCAAAGAGAACACTAAATTCAAGTTCCCGTAGTTAAGTTAGTGAATATGCCTATCTCTCTCTTTTTTTTATTTTTTGTTTGCTGTTATTGTTATTTGCTTGTTTGTCTTCTTGTCTGAGTTTTACTTTAAATATGAAGCTATTTCTATCCTCAGCCAAGATGAGGCAGCTCAACTGAATGAAAAGACCCTAAGTCTAGAATATAGAACTGAGTTCAAGCTTGGCTCTGAGAAGAATTACCATGTGATCTTCAGCAAGGTTCTCAACACCTTTCACTTAGTTATTAATGGGAATAAAAGTCAAAGCAATGTGTAATGTTATCAGAATGGGTGAGAAAGAATATCATGCACCAAAGTTATGAAAACAGAGGGAGACTAAGTTGAATCCCAACATAAATTGCAGGGGAAAAAAAATGAAATTTTTTTTAAGTACCTAAAAATTAAAATGGAGATAACAAATGGGCTTATTGCAGAACAGTTTAACTTCAAGGAAGGAGGAGAAAGTAGAAGAGGAAAAGGAGGAGGCTTGGGGCAAGAGGGAGGACAAGGAAATGCAGAAGTAGCATGATTGAGTGTAACTAAACTAAAGAGCTTCTGCACAGCAAAAGAAACTGTCATCAGAGTGCACAGGCAATCTACAAGAGGGGAGAGAATTGTTGCAATCTATCCATCTGACAAAGGCCTAATATCCAGAATCTACAAGGAACCTAAACAAATTTACATGGAAAAAAACTCATCAAAAAGTGGGCAAAGAATATGATCAGACACTTTCCAAAAGAAGACATTTATGTGACCAACAACATGAAAAGAAGCTCATCATCACTGGTCATTAGAGAAATGCAAATCAAAACCACAATGAGATACCATCCCATGCCAGTTAGAATGACAATCTTTAAAACATCAGGAAACAACAAATTCTGGAGAGGGTACAGAGAAACAGGAACACTTTTACACTGTTGGTTGGAGTGTAAATTAGTTCAACCATTGTGGAAGACAGTGTGGTGATTCCTCAAGGATCTAGAACTAGAAATACCATTTGACCCAGCAATCCTATACTGGGTATATACCCAAAGGATTATAAACCATTCTACTATAAAGACACACGCACACATGTTTATTGCAGCACTATTCACAATAGCAAAGACTTGAAACCAACCCAAATATCCATCAATGATAGACTGGATAAAGAAAATGTGGCACATATACACTGTGGAATACTATACAGCCATAAAAATGAATGAGTTCATGTCCTTTGCAGGGATATGGATGAAGCTGGAAACCATCATTCTCAGCAAACTAACACAAGAACAGAAAACCAAACACCGCATCTTCTCACTCATAAGTGGGCATTGGATAATGAGAACATATGTGCACAGGGAGGAGAACATCACACACTGGGGCCTGTTCGGGGGTTGGGGTCAAGGAGAGGGATAGCATTAGGAGAAATAGCTAATGTAGGTGACGAGTTAATGGGTGCAGCAAACCACCATGGCACATGTATACCTATGTAACAAACCTACATGTTCTGCACATGTATCCCAGAACTTAAAGTACAATTTAAAAAGAAGAAGAATTCTTGCCTCCTGTCCCCAAAACCTTGGACCTGATGAGTTAGATGGTCCTACTGTCCAAGGCAGTAATGCTTATACCAGGAAACATGGTCATTTTCTGATTCGTTGGAAGTAGAGACTAACCCCTGGCAATGTAAAGTTCTTTATGCCCCTAGACCAACAGGCAGACGAGGAAATCCGTATAACTAGCTAGGATAATCACACCAAATGATCAGGAGGAATTGATTTTTTGCTATAGAATGAAGAGAAGGACAGTGCTTAGAACTCGGGGAATTCAGTGGGATGCCTCTTAGGACTCCCTTCCCTATAGTCCTGGTCAAGGGAAAATAGCAACAATCCCCCAAATAAAAACAAGACTACCAAGCACTCAGATCTTACAGAAATGAAGATTTTGGCTGCCCTAACTGGAAAAAGACCAATCCAGTAAAGGTGCTGTCAGACAGTATAGGTGGTATTGTCAATGGGGACCCCTATAATGAGCAGGTTAGGTCTCATGACCAGCTACAGAAGTAAGCTGCAGCTATGATTAAGGTTCCCTAATTGCATCCTCTTCTCCAAGCATTTTATATGAAGAGTGTTGCTGGGGGCCAATACTTTAGTCAGGTTGCAGTATTTGTGAAAGGACATCACAGAAATGATATGGTAGTTGATGGGATTTTGTGCATCCCCTGTGTGAGGACCATGTATTTTTCAACCACATGGAGGACAAGACCGGAGACTGACAGAGTGAAAAGGGGTAGAGTATTCAAGATATCTTTCATTTCTTCCTCCAGATCCACTTTCCACCTTTTTTTCCTTTGTATGTACTCTTATCAAAGACCCTCGGTGCTCAGCAGGTTCCTGACAATGAGCTCTAACAAAACTGGAGGGAAGGAGGGGCAGGTATCAGGATATTGACCCCCTTGGCTCCCTCCTTGAAGGGTAACTGATGCTGGCTATGCCCCCAACTTAAGATCACTGTTCTACTTACAGTGGCTTTCTATACAAAAGTAGCCCCTTTCATGTTCTAAAGAAGCTTCTTTCTTCCCTTTCCCCTTTGGACATAGGTTGTTAACAGCTCC